TCACTAACGTAATCCTCATCATTTGTAGTATAGCTAAAACCAGTTCCAATAGGCTGATCAACAAACAGAAGGTTTGATGCCTGCAAAATTTTGAGAATATTCATGCAAACCCCTGGAGGAAAATCTGAGAAAATGAAAGAAAATCTCAATCCTGGATATATAATATAGGTTACCTGATCCCAGCCATATTCATTCCATACTAGAGACAAGTTCTTAGTGATATGAAAAGGACCCATTTCATAAAACAAGGCTAGAGAACTGCTGCACCCTGGACCCCCAGTCAACCATATCACAACAGGATCCCTTTTGCTTTTCCGGGATTCAAAGAAAAAATAGAACATCCTGGTGACAAATTTCAATAAGAAAAACATGAATCCAGGGTCAGCTTTTTAACTTTAAACAAAGAATGAATCCACAAAAATAGTAAAGAAACCTTGCAGCTTTAGAATGCGACAGTTTATAGTATCCAGCATGGTGACCCAAATTCTGAATAGAAGGTCCAGTTTCGAGGAGAGAAGGAAATTTGAATTGTTTCTCAACAATCCCTGGAGCCTCCTCTGATTCTGATATAGGTGTGTCTGCATGACGGGTGCTAACAGGGCCTTTAGGGGACAAGTTGAAAGATTTTATCAGCTTTTCTGCTCGCTTTTTGGCCAAGATACCACCAGTTGAAGAGGAAACATCATGGCTGTTTTCTCCGTCATGATTTCTTGCATTTGAAAATGGAAAAGAAAGAAGAAAGAGAAAGAGGAAAAGGAATTTCAGAGGGGAAAATGACGATGCCATTGCTTTTTGTGGGGGGTTTGATGGATATATGGTATTTTTGAATTAAACTGCTATGACATGAGCTTTAGCCTTTATATAGGATTGATTTACTCACTTTGAGACAAGCACCAAAAGACATAGGGGCATTTGACCCTTTATTTATTTATTTATTATATTTATAATGAGAGTGTCTTTAATTAATTTTTATATACCTTCAATTTTTTTTAATAATTTTAAAAATATATTTTTTACATTAAATATAAATTT